AATTTCTAAGTTTGTAAGTTTTAATATTCCTGATTTTCGAAAGAGAACCGAGATAAATATAAACAAATACCAAAGTTCAGATTTCCCCCGATCTCCTCACGTGTTTTGGGACCCAAAGTCTTTCGTAATTGACAATTGTCGGCTTGTTAGCCGAAATGACTTGGCCGTTTACGTTTCCTACGTCGTCAGTTCAAAAATTATCCATACTTTTTTGGAACCCTGCTTTTAAACTGTAAAAATTCAAGTCTTGTTTTGTACAATCAACGCAATCATGTACAACTTCAATTTGTGTTTTTGTTTATGTGATTTTAGATTTTTAAAACCACGACGACTGTTATTTTTGCCAAACTTTCGATCTATTTTCAAGATTGGGACATAGGCCACTGATATTCATTGTGACTGATCAAAATGCAGTCTAAAACTTTTTGTGTGTAAATTTTGAAGGGATCTATATGAATCACTGATTGCAGAAGGGGGACATGTCCATTTTTTTTTTTTTACTTTTTCCCACTATCTTCTATACTACAATTAGAGCTATGTTGGTGCTAAAATGAGACATTTCACTCGATTGGATATGGAAGAAAACGGGCGTTCAAATGTGCCTTGAGCGCAAAAAGGAGTCTTTAAACAAACTACGTCCTTTGAAAAACGAAGATTACATGCAAAAGATCAACAACAATTCATGATCTCATCATGCCATTACTTTGAGGTATCATTCCAAGCACCAGGTGCTATTGAAACGTCTGAATTCATTGATGGCCTAGTAGCCTACAATTTCCAGCTGAGGATGGGAAATACTCCTAATATTGCGCTACCAACTGCAGACTCGTACAAGTCAAAGATTCCAGTCAATGCTGCAAAAATGAAGGATTTGAAGAGCCTCAAGCAGTACATCCCACAAACGTCAGTTGACAATCATTGGAGTTAATTTTACGCTTGGCCTACAGCTCCTTAAAGCAAACTATTGATTGAATTTTCTTCTTTTGGGTCTCATGTTTTTATGGTGTTTGAAACTATTTTTTACAATGTATGTTTAATTATATTAAATATTTTCGAGGCGAACTTCATTTCTTGCAGAAAACGACCTCTTCTCTACAACAAAAAACGTGTTGAAAGCAGAACAGAGACATGTCCACACCACAAAAGTGGCTAACTTGCTCACAAGCATTGATGAATTTGAGAAAAACCTCAATATACATTTGTAGAATAGCCTACTTGAGGTCCTGTAATTTATTCAAAATTTTAGAACAGAAAATTCCTCATTAAAACAGTTTTTTGTCTCTACTGTAAAATTTAGTTTTTGGGACATGTCCATTTTCTGCAATCAGTGGTTCATATATTTTTGTATTTTTAATCACAGGACGGAATAAACTGGATTTTTGTTAATATATTTTTAAACAATTGTTGTTAGACATCTAGAGTCTTCTTCCTGTATCTTCTAGGACTTTCTGGACTTTGTAACTTAATAAGACACATTTACAGACTATTCTACTTACTTTTTTTGTAACGAAAAATGTTATTCCTCAACTTGGCCTGCCAAAAGACTTCATTTTACGTGCTTTGCTTATGTGTGTAAAAATATTCAGACAATAAAGCCGGGCATTTCCTATTTTTTAACAACCATACTTGTACTATACAAAAGACATTAATTTTCTGAAACATTTCAAGAAAAAGCGTCTCAAAATTTGAGACACAGACATTCATTTTGTGCAAGTCCAAAATATAAAAATCAAATCTTAAGAGGGGTTTCACTGACAAAAAAATCCTCATAAAATAGCCAAGGAGCCATAAAAGCACTAGCATGTAAAATAGTCACATATGCAAGACCGTACACAGGGTGTCCCCTGAATAGACGTCAAAATTTCAGGAGGTTTTCAACATGCCAAATTAGACTAAAAAGTCCCTATTGTCCAAAGTCAGAATATCAACTGTATTTGAGATATTTCACTTTTCATGTTACTTTAACCTATTACAACTTTTCCCTTAAAGGCTCTCACATAAAGTATTAATTCTATTGTAAATTTTACAATGGGAAGAGATTTACAAATTCTATAAGATACATTTGTTTTTTATTGTAACCTTCAGTAATCAAATTACAAAATTAATTACAACATAAACTTTAACTAGTTTCTAAAGTTCTTTTTATATTTTATTCTAAATTCACTAATTTCGTGGTCCGCCGAAAAATGGCAAAAAGGAGGGAAAACTCATAAGGTGAGGTTGAGATAGGAAGTTGATGTCCGAGTGGATCGAGGTCACGATAGCTCAAATGGTAGAACAGCGGCGTATCTAGCCGAAGATCGTGGGTTCGAATCCCGCTCGTGCCATTAACTTTTTTTCATCTCAACTAAAAACCTTAATTATTTGTAATTTTATTCTAAGGAGAATTCCCACATCCTAACACATCGTCACCCCCACGACCTTTGCTCTCGTACAGCAAACCTCGGATCGTCCTAGCATTTCGATCCATTCAAGACCACCACCTCCTTACCCTAGAACCATCCTTAAATGGAGACTAAAAATAAGAGTAAACCAAATACCACTTTGTGTCCTTCCGCCCACATTCATCTGAATCAAATCCCACTTTCTGCCGCAGATCCGTCAAATTCTTGCTTCTCTTTGCTGCCACCACTGCAATAACGGACTGTTCATAGACAAGTTAACAAGGAAGCTTCATAAGAGATGTAAAATGGCAGAATTAAAATCTAACTTAGCTAAACCATGAAACCTCAAAAGGATCCAATACCGCTAGTTAAAAATTGAGTTAAATGGTAACCATCCCTAACCAACCCTCGCTTCCTCGTCTTTCATCATCATTATTTGCTCTATTTGCTGCCACCATGCCGTATGCCCTCCACTTTGATGATTTTTCGTTATGGACGAGAAAAGTCCATACTTTCATCCCTGCTTTCTGAAGGGAACATTTTGCATCTTGTTTCGTAAAAACATTTCCAGTTTTCCAGGTCCTTTTCATCCTACCATTCATTATAGGCAAGGACGGTTGAACGATGCTCCCCCTAAAGAACCGCAGGATGATCGAAGAAATCTGTAATGAGGGAAATTTCGACTTATGCGATATAAGCGAAGCAAGTCTTCTTGAATTTATATATTTTTTCCTTTAAGTTTCTTTTTTGCAAGCAAAACTTCTGCACGTTTAGCTAATGAATTAAAACGTCTATGATCGTGTTCTCACGTTTATTGGTTACGTTCACAATCGAATCAATGTCCTCAACTTTAATTAAAAAAAAATGTTTAGGTCTTTAGCCTCCTTTGAATATGCAAAATTGACTCGAGGTTTAAGATTATAGGGTTATTTTTCTTCATTCGATATATCGTTCTGTACGTGCGTTTTTTTAACGTTTTGTATGGGAATATGGGGCACAGCTAAAGTATCCACCTCCTATCGAATCCAGTTTGAAACCTTGTATTACAAATGCTCCTTTCTACGTGTCCAATCTAGTCTTCACCATGATTTTAACATCCCTTATGTTTCCCACCCCATCAAAATCAAGATAAAACCAATTCCAGTCATCACTCACAGGTCATCCCAACTCCTTAGTAACCCGACTTTCCTCTATCACATTAACCGATACTCCACACAGCCGACTAAAACGCCGATGGCCTCGAGATTCTCTCCTTCTTCTCCACTCATGAAAATACAAGTCAATTATTTTTTTTCAACATTATATTTGCTTGTTTGTAGTTAATTCTACAGTCCCTGAAGATGACAGTATAAAACTGTCAAAAGCTCGGCGAAAACAGTAAGGAAGTTTTCTCTGTTTTGACCTCTTCCGAAGATCCTCTGAAAAGAACTTCTTAATTCTACAGTTTTAAATTTCAAATAAAACGAAAACAAGTGTTTCTATACTACGGGAAGTGGTAGGTTTCAAGCTACTGCTTGCGCTTTATAAATTATTTTAACACTAGTATTTTTGTGTGGTGATTAGTGAACGTTAATCAATAATTATTCAGAAATCGTGAGATGCGGTCTGGTGGGATGTAGGTTTCAGAAAAACATTTCCTTTATCGTGCCAACGTTTTGATCTTTATTGAGATCATCTTCAGGGCCTGGGATTTACAACTTTCCCACCCCTTCAAAATCCAACACATATAAACATAAAACAGCAATATCTCACTGGCACTCTCAACACGACACGCAAGAATGGCACAATTACACAGAAGACAAACACTTTCAGTGAGTAGAAATACTTTGATTGAATATAAAAAGTATATTTTGCATTGTATAAATTCACTTTTGCACATCCTAAATGTATTTGTTAAATGTAAACAATGTTTGTGAAACGTTGGCACGATAAAGAAAATGTTTTTCTGAAACCTACATCACACCAGACCGCACCTCACGATTTCTGAATAACTAGTATTTTTGTTCTAACACCGGACAGTATTTAATAGAGGTTATATTTTGTATGTTAGCGTGAACCTCTAGGTTTTTTATCATGTTTAATCGTTGGACAGAGTTCAGACGAAGTAAAAAAAAGTCGCGAATCATTACTGAAGTGTGGTAGGTGGATTTTTTTTATTAAAAAAATGTTTATAGATGGTGGGAATAAAAATTACCTAATACGAGAATTGCCAGAAGAAATATGTAATCTTCGCGGTGTGGAGGGTTGAAGAAGAAAATGCTCGACAATACTTTTCGGTGAAATGCGTCCAACCATGAATAAAAATAGTGACAACTAACAATAAATAGGCAAACAATTTCGTCAGTTTTTAAATGAACAATGATTACTTTTGTGTGGAAAAGAAATCAAAGTGAATTAAATTTTGGCTTTTGGTCCTGATTCCCCAATGTAAATTAATTCAACTGTTTTTTTATTCTCGGGTTTGATTAGAGAAAGGGAGGACTCGGCGCTCCTTTCTTGGTTCAACTTTACTCGGAAGTGGATTCAGTGAGAGGAAGGAGCTTAAACGGAGAAAGGTAGGAAGAGAGAGGGCCTATTTAAAAAGACGAGACGGCTCATCTTCTACTATTTGTTTAACACCACCTGAGATATGAAGATCGTAAGTCCAACCTTTAATCAATCCTGTTAACAATTTCTTACCTGTAAAACATTTCGTCAATTTACAAAGATTTAAACTTTCTATAAATTGGTTTACTGAATATTATATATATTAGTGGTTTTTTCGGCCAATTTTTCATTAAGGACAACTGATGTTAAAAATTAACAATAATATTTTAAAATAAAGTCAAGTTGTCACTGTTGTAAATTTTCTTCCTATACTTGATCGAACGTTAAAGATCAGATTTTGTTACCGCTTGTGATCCGCCTTGTATTGTTTTTTATAGCCTGTTGTTTTCATAAAACTGCCATGTACAACGAAGGATCATTACATCCGCTCATTAATATAGAATAGAAATGATTTTTATTTGTTTTCCTCAAAATAATAACATACAAATATGAACTGTACAAAAAGCATACACACATTTGAGATATCATCTGTCTGCGGAAGTTGGTGCGCATAATATGTAATAATAATAATACTGTAGTATGATGTGAGGGACGGGTCATTGGTATTTCGTTGGTACTATACTTCCGAAGTGTAGTGGCCTGTCCAGAATGAATGTATTTATTAGCGTGAGTGGACGTAGCTGTCGAGGAATGTCGAGTGCTCCACAGGCCCGTCAAACAATTTAGATTAGGATAGTTTAGTGTATGAGTGGAATTTGTAAATACCGTTTGAATGTATTTATTAGTGTGAAAGAAAGGAGGCCGCAAGATCACGATAATCTTCCGACCTCCAATTTAGTTGTAGTGTAAATTAGTATGAAGGTGAATTATGAAAGTGTGTATAAATATTATATCTATGTATTTTAATTTATCACATGTGGGAGGGTAACAACAAACAAGATAACGAATCTCCTATTAGGTGAATTAGGTGGATCGGAAGGCAAAGTCGTTTAGTTGGGGCATAAGAAGACTTAGAAAAGAATGTACACATAAGATAGATAAGAAGACAAATGCGAGAAGGTTATAAACGTGGGGCGCCGGCGATGACCCTGATAGCCGGCAAAAAAAAAACAACGACAACAACAACTTTATTTGATAATTATTATAAATAACAAAATATACCCTTTTCAAAAAACCACAGAAGTATTTACATCAATGGAATATCTATCAGTTTGGAGTCGAGATTACTGAAAAAATATTTTAAAAAGATAATAAAATAGCCAATAAAATATAATAATATTCCCTGTATTTTATAAGATAATTGGAAAGAAAAAGAAAACAAAAACCAAAAAAAAAAATTAATTAAAAAAATATAAATAAATACTAATTTTTAAATAATAATTAATATAAAAGGCATTGAATCCTATATTAAATCAGAAAAAAATGTAACAAATAAATTAGTCTAATAGATAGAACCAATAGCACATTACAACTATTAATAAATATAAATATTGAATACAGTACTCAATTTAACATTAACAAAATAAATAGAATTTGAATACCATTAACAATCCCACACAACGTTAACAAGTTATGGATTCAAACTGTAAAACCCGAGAATAAATAAATAAACAGATAAATAAATAATTAAATAAATGACTTTGACGTGAAAATTGAAGGGCTTTTTGAATATAATTAATATGCAGGGTAACAGTAAAAATGAACAAAATCTTTTCAAAAACGACACCCCGAGGGTGTATGACCTCTGCTGTTGCGAACCCTCGTAAAATAAAATATCTCTTGTAACCTGTTAATTACTAATTTTTAATGGGTCCGTTGCAGCTCACTTATTGGCGTTTATGATGTGATTAAAGTGTCTATGGATCTCAAGATCTCATAGAGATTGAACCATCTATCCAAAATAATTATGTTTTTGGCTTTATTGATCGAGTCAATACTACATAGGACTTTGCTTCTTGAGGACTGCGGTTAAACCTCTAGTTTGGTATTTCCCTATCATTTTGGTCTGCTCAAATTCTCAAAAATAGTAGTTTAAAAAACAAACCCAACTCTAACAGAAACTAACAGCAGAACTGCTAAATCTAGGTCGTTTTAGGGCTAGAATAATAGATTGGTCACCGGATATTGCTAGGAAGAGGAAGAGAACGGATCATGTCCTGTGTTGGTGTAAGTACTATATAGGCTAAGATTTTTACTCCTGGGACAGGAAAAATTCAGGCTGATGAAACAGATAGATGTCGTTGAAAAAGCTTGGAGAGCTGGTAAAAAGGCTTAACTTACCTAAATAAGTTTTTACTAAAGATAAATCATTGGTTTCGATTAGCGTCTTTTTCACCACGAGGATCGGATCAAAAGTGATAATTCGTCATCCTGATTAGATCTTATAAACATTAAAAAAATGCATATTATAAAAAAGGCCATGTGATATTTTCTTCAAGAGGAAATTTGAACTTTGATCTATCGAGATCCAGATTTACTCATGTGCATCAGTGAAAGTTTAAATAACAAGTGGACTTTTTATCGACATAAAGACTTTCATTAGCCAATTTACCCTTTCACTGTTACCTTTCTACTTATCCTCACTTTCGTGTTTTTTTTGTAAAACTTATGATTAAAAATTGTTTTAGTTACTTTTCGTAATTTCGACCTTGGTGAGTCAAAGCCTCGCAGGAGTTCTGTACCACAGACAGCACGCAGCGGCCGTCCAGGCGGGCCATCATCCTTTGTCAGGAAGAGGAAACGAAGATTATCACTATTCCAACAATCAGATCTTCGGAAGCGGCCTCTTCGGCTACGACGAACCCGACGAGTCGGTAAGGGTCATCAAGATCACAAGGACATACGCCGTTCCGGTCCCGGTCCCGGTTCCGTATCCGAAGGAAGTTCCCATCCCTGTCGCCGTACCGAAACCCGTCCCGGTACCCGTACCGCATCCGGTACCTGTCCCGGTCCACAAGGCTATTGTAATCCCTCATCCTGTCGCAGTGCCCGTACCCATAGATCATCTCTCTCCTCCTTCGGAGGACCAGGATTCCCATTACCAAGATTTGCAGCAATACCCGACGCAAACCGGCTCAAGTTATTCCCAACGAGACGAGCAGTACCACCAACATTAATAATTTTTAAAAGGTAAATCATTTCATTTGAAAGGGTTATAATAAAATTAAAACCCAGTGGCTGTAAATTCTAAACATAGCAAGACGGATTAAGTACGAAATATAGTCCAATTCGAAGTCAGTTTCAGGGTAGAATTATCCAGAATATCTGACTTTATATAAACAAAATTACCTTCTAAGAAAACTAAAAGAACTTTGTGTACGTTTGCCAGAAAACGCAACTTATTGTTGGATCTAGTCCAAACTATTTTCTTCAGTATTACGTAAATATAATGTTTTTTAATGGATTAACTATAATGGTATTAGCATTAATACATTTCAAAAGTGATTAATGTAGTAATTTTTAACTACATCAAAAGTAATAAATGTTTAAAATAATTAAGTATTCTAAGTAGCACAGTTCTATCATATTGTTGTGAAAAGACCAATTTTTAAAACTTTTAATAATACTTTAAAATTACAGTACATTACAATGCTAAGTATTTCACATACGACGATCTCAACAGTAAAAAAAATAAAATAATGATAGCAGTTGTAAAGGTAGTCAAACTTTTAAAAATGATTCGATAAAAGAAAAAGGTTATAACCACATTATTTCTACTAATAAATATTATTTTAGTTTTTACCACAAAGTTGAGACAAATGAGAATTCAGCGAAAACTTTTATTTTTTTAAACAACAAGAAAGGTACAAATTCACTTTCAGCCGTGAATTAAATAAACAAAAAGACAAACAGTTAACAATTAGATCATTATTGAAATCATGTTTTCCTTATGTTATTTTCTGGACATATCATTTTGATAGGATAATCATTGAAAGCCAGATAATTAATGATAAAATTGCTAATAAACTACAAATCACTTATCATAAATTAGTGTTGTTATAAAGAAGTGCAAGTTCTGCCCACCTATATGTTTTTTTATTATTTAAGCTTATTGTCTAGATACGAGACGATATATCAATGTGCGATGGTAATGTCATTTTATAATTAAATCAAACAATTACTTGTATATATGTAACCTTTTTTGTTTGTGAGCAATACATTTTTTTATATTAAAATAAACGTTTTTAAAAAAACTGATGTAATTTGTGTGATTTTAAATTTCTGACTTAAAAAATTAGGTGTTTGTGATACCCCTAGAATAATCCCACGGTGGTTGTTTCTGGGTATCGGAGACGTGTGTGAGTAACGAAAATGCCGGGACGTCCCAACCTCTGGACTTAACCATCGCGATCCAGCCGTCTGTCGCTAAAACTGTATTTAAAAAAAAAAGTGGCAGCGTCGATTGGTTTGGTCGGCAGAGGAGCTATAACTGTCGATATGTGACCCCTGGAGGGTCTGACTCTTCCCGATTAAGAATATGCCAAGGGAGGCTGACACACGGACACTCACTTTTGGGGTAAAGCCGTGTCCGGCATGTTGAGAAAGGTTGCTCCATGTGTCCCACCTAGTTGAAGGGTGCAATTCCTCGAATTCATATAGAGAGCGGATAGGAATGCCATCCGATTTGAGAATCGTGCTTGACCAACTGGGGGCCCTGTTCCGATTTTTGAAGGAAACAGGATTGCTTTATTACATATAGTATTGATATTTTTCTGTTCTCCAGTTTATGTTGAGAGCGAATTTATTAGCGTGAATGTATAGTGTGAAAGGGTCTATGGCGGTGTATTGAGTACGCTAACGACCCTCAATTAGGTTAGTTATATAATCTGTGTAAAGGGTGATGGAGGAATATCAAGTACTTAACCACCCAAAGGCATCTATTTAAGAGTGAATGAGAGACTGATTAGTTGGAGGCTAAAATGACCTAGATATTGATAGCCCCTGGAGCCCAATTTCGATGTCTGGATGGATAAAACCTAGGTCTTACCTAGATCTGGCATGTTGGCATTTTATTATAATTATTTATTGTAAATTGCACAAAAGCTGGAATACATATAAAACCGTTCAATTCAAGTATTTGATTGTACGGCTGTCTTGATTGTAAATATTTGCTATTTTGTTCAATAATCCGTTGTAATTTAGATGATATGGTTAGGGACCGTATATTTCTTTACACTTGAATATTTTTAATTTTTGAAATAGTTTTTTTTTATTTGACCTAATCTTTTGGCATTGGCTTCATCTAATAGTTAATAATAGTGATAATAAAAACCAAAATAAATTGTGAAATTGAGTTGGTGTATAACAATCTTGCCCGTGAAAACAACAAAGAATACTTTTCTAAAAGTTTCTTTTTTAGTTCTTTTGTTCAGTTCTTTCACCACGATTTCACATTCCAGAAACAAATATACTTAATCAGGTTTAAAATTAGTAAATTCACTAATTTCGTGGTCCGCTTGACCGATTAATGTATTACAATTAATTAAGGTTTTTAGTGGAGATAAAAAAGTCAATGACACCCACGATCTTCGGCTAGATATGCCGCTGCTCTACCACTTGAGCTATCGTGACCTCAATCCACTCGGACACTAACTAAAAAAAAAATTAAAATTAGTTTAAAATTTATTTAATTATACTCACGGATAATAGATAGATAATAGATTAACCGAGTTACATTGTACCAAGAACATATTATAAACAAAAAAATAATAATTTAACCTATTTATAGTTGTTTGCTACATACTGAAAGTATTTGCAAATTGAAAATGTATGAAATGAAAAAAGAGAAAATACAGAAACCAAAAGAAAGGGAAAAACGATTAAAGAAAATATTAAAGTACATAACAATAATCGGCAAGAATCCCCTGAATTATCACAAGTTTGTTATAAAGATTCATTACTCTTAGATTCAGGCTATTCAACAAATTAATGATAAGTGGTGAACCGTTCGATTCTTCTCTGAAGACGGCGCAACTGAAGGCAACTGCATGGATAGGTCAACCAAAATGATTCGAAACTAAAAGTATGTTATCACGCTTGTCATTTCCAGCTTTCTTGCTTACTTTTGCATTATTGCATTATTAAAGTTATTCAGCTCATTTTCAATCATTTGCAATCTGCATTTTCGCCCATTTGAACAAGGCTTGGTCCCAATGATATTGGAAAAGCTGGACTGTATCGAAAAAATTGATTATTCTCAATTTAATTGTTGAATATGCTTATTCCTAATTTTACAACACAGACATAACTAAAATTTAATTAGTTTGCTCATTCGTTCCTGATAATTGTCTTCCGCCTATAGTCACCTGTTTTGGTCTGTCATTTTTGCTTCTCGTATTCTTTAGTGACTTTGTAGTTTATCCCTTTATTTTTTTGTTAGAACATGGTATTATTATTCTAAACGCTAGTCTAAACAAAAATAATCAGACAAACCCTCCTCTGAAGATGACGAGAGACAAACGACTGGCAGATGAAAATTATCGGGGATGACTAAACTATATGAACTTGTTCTCATTACATCCATTGTAGCCTGAATGCCTACATGACACATAAGCGTGCTTATGGTTTCGATTAAACAAATCATAATTTATGCACAGCGTACATGTGTGTGTGTAAGAGTTGAATTTTTTTAAAGTTGTATTCTAATAGTTTCTAAAGGGGGCGTCGGTGACCGGAACTGTTTAAGCGTTGACACGGCGCTAACCACTTAAGGTAAAGATCCCGGGTTCAAATCCAGCGGCCCTGCATTGAACCCAACATACTTACAAATGGGCTTTTTTTCAAAAACACCGGCACCCCGTGGGTTGATATAACCTCTGCTGTTGCGAACCCTCGTAAAATAAAATATTTCTTGTAACCTGTGAATTACTGAATTTTAATGGGACCGTTGCATTTCACTTATTGACGTTATCAATTGTGATGTATTAGTTTAAAGTGTCTATGGATCTCAGGATCCTATAGAGATCGAAACATCTAACCAAAATAATTTTGTTTTCGGTTTTATTGATCCATCCAATACTACATAAGGACTTTGCTTCTAGAGGTCTGCGGTTGAACCTCCAGTTTGGTCTTTTCCTATCATTTTGGTCTGCTCAAATCCTCAAAAATAGCAATTTAAAAAACAAACTCAACACGAACAAAAACTAACAGCAGAACTGCTAAATCTATGTCGTTTTAAGGCTAGCATAATAGCTGCTGATTGGACACTGGATATTGCTTGGAGGAGGAAGAGACAGCGTAGCATGGCCTCTGTTGGTGCAAGGCCTGAGCTGGTGAGAATTAAAAAAATACTCCAATATCTTTCATTTTACCACACTCCAATGGATTATAAAAGTTAGCAACAGAAGAACTACGAGAATACGACATAACTTTACACTTGTATTTATTTTATAATTTTGTAATTTTTTATTGGTATCACCGGTTAATAATGTCCAGATACTTCGTAACTCTTATGAATGGGAAAGGCAGGGGGAGTATGATATGAAAATAATGAATGCACGCTGTTCAGGCGTAGGAATAGTAAAACAGTACATTTTGACGAATGAATGATCGACCCATAGTATAAAGAGATGATGATAATAAAAAAATTACACCAAACCTACGGTACCCAAAATTTCTTGGGTGTAGAGTTCTTTTTTTGGTCATAAAACGGTTGGACAACTTCGTCAATTGCAAAACGATAGGAAAAAATAAAAGACGGCGTTACCGTCAAATCGGCGCAATGTTACGCCTTTCGATTATGTAGGTGAGTCATGAAAAAATATTTATATAAAAAACAGCGCATATTTCTCTATTAAAATAACACTCTCCCGGAAAAGGCGAAAAAAACCCTTTGACAGCGGCTTCCTGAAAGTTAGCGACGCCTGGGAGGTGTGACGGATTGGACCACGCCGCCTGTACCGAGGGTTCATTAAACACCTTTGTGTAGTTGGTCACTTTCTATACCACAATATATAGCTGGAGCTATAGCTTTCTCGGCCTCAGTCGACAGTCTTCTCGTAACATGGACGGACGCATTGTAAGTAGACGAGACGTTTTGACAGTACTTTGTTTATGTCGGATAGCCTAGGTGTCAAAGAATCAATCTTCCATCTATTCACTTTCCCTTGCATATCAAATTAGATTTCCAAACATTTAATTTAAGAAGTATTAATTTTCAATAGATTTCCAAGTATATAGCGCATACAGTATGCATAAAAATCACTTACCTATTAATATTTATATATACGTAATATATTTAATAAAACTTAGCGTAAAAAAATATATATTTCTTAATTAAATACCGATAGACATTTAGTTCAAATAGTTTTTAATCCAAAGATACACCACAAATTGTAACATTCGTTTCCGGGAGTTTTCTCAAATTATCAATTATTATTTTCTTCAACCTCATCTCAGCCATAGGCAAAGTTGAATGTTTTGCTTTTTCAGTGTTTTACAAATCTAAGTAATATTTTTGTCAAAAACAACATTTTTATACATAACCAATGACATACCGGGTGTCCTTTTTAGATAGCAAGGCTGAATTTCTCTTGAAGCAATGATGCTATAAAAAGTTTTTAGTCTAGTTTCAAATTTTTACCTTTTTTTGGAGAGTTCAATTTCAAAATTTAAAATACAATCCTATACATCCTGATACATTGCTTTAAAGGACATTTTTACAGTGAAAACAATGGTGCAATCGGATTTTAAATTAATCATAAAATGACAAAGTTATGGCAAAAAGAAACCGCCAGCGTAATTTCGTCGGGGAGCTGAATATTTTACTTTATGTTCGCGGAAATCCAAATTCCTCTCTCCGAAATGTTGGAATAATTTTAGATTAAAAAAAAATAAAATAAAATTAGTAGTCGGAAGTTACAAATTTTAGCCGTATCGCTCTCATCTTGTCCAGGGTCTTCAGGACTTTGTTTATGACTGGGGTCTAACTTTTCTTGCAAAAATGTCGATTTGGTAGGCTGAAGAAAACGTTCTTCGATATATCCTATGGACTTATGAATCCAAGTTCACCTCTAATGGCATACTAAAACGTCGGAATTTTTGAACGTGGGAAGAGGAAAATCCGAGAATTTTGTACTCTTGTCATCATCAGGTGGTTCATAGTATCAACGTTTCTTTTTTTTTTAACGTATTGAACACCGCATTCCCACCATCATTCACCATTTCTACTGTATCAACGTTTGGTGTAGACTTCTCGGAAATAAATTAATTTGGCCTTATTTCTACGAAAATAATTTAAATGGTTCTCAGTTACTCAATTTTTTGAGGGAGGTTTTACCAATACGATTAGGTGATGTTCCTGTGGAACAACGATAAAAAATGATTCTCCAGCTTGAGAGATGCCCCGCATACAATTCTTTGCAGGAGAGGCGTTATTTGAATCGTCAATTTCGGGATAGGTGGATATGGCCCGATAAGTTGTCCTCCTCGGTTACCCGATCGCTATTTAAAAAACAGTTTCGACGCCAATCATAACCCAGCAAACTCAGTTGAAGAACTGCGGCAAAGGAAAATGTATGTTAATTCATTTCCCCTGACTCTATCACTCTGAGCACCGGTGAATCTTTACGCAAGGCAGGAGGCAAACCGAACCACTGTTTTTTAGTCAAACTTTTTGCCATAACATTGTCATCTTTAACCAATTTAAAATACGACTGCACCATTGTTTGCATCGTCAGCATAAAAAATCCTTTAAAATGATTTGTCAGGATGTATAGGGTCGTACTTGAAATTTTGAAGTTGAACTGGACCTGAGGTATACTGTATAATTTTTCTCAAAAAAAGGTAAAAATTTGAAACTAGACTAAAAAAAAAATTAAACACGTATTATTTATTTTATTATCCAGCCGAGGATAGATAGACCGAAAATGATCTCTTACGACCAAATTACAAAAAGATATATTTTCATATTACTCGTATTTCATTTTATAATTGTTATTGTTTACAGTTTATTTTTTCTATATAAAATAAGCTTGGGTTGAAGATTGTTTAAATTTCATTCTTTCTGTTTCTACATTCTATTAACATTCAATAAAAAATGTATTGTGAGAAAGAGTCGGATATTTATTCATTCAATACAAATTATTTATAATCTACAAGATGATCATAAGAGAAAATTGCACCGACTAACGTTTAAATCAAAATAATCATCCATGTTAAAAAATTAAATTTATAATTTAGTTCAAATTGAAAAATAATTTGTGTGACGACGGAAAATAAGTGGACAGTCACTGTCTTACAATTTACATTTAAATTTCTAAATGAGATTAAGAACTTATTACTTATCAACCACTTCTGGTCATTATTTTGGCTTTTACTTGAGATTCCTTCATCACTATTAACACATATAACTATTCGAATTGAGGAAAAATGGGATACACAATATTTCACTATAGGCCCTTCACATCTACATACACGTTAATAAATACAGTCACTCTCTTTATACACAAAACTAGAGATCTGTCAGTACCTTATACAATAAAACAGCCCTGATTCCTCAAAAAATCGAAACAGAGAACGCTGAACTTAATGAAATTGTTAACTTCTATCGTTCAAAGTTAAATTTGGCTAAAAAGTATCCTATTAATTAAAACAAAAAACATTTTAATCCCATTTTTTTATTCTTTACTATCCATAGAGATGTTTTAATGTTTTTTAATTTACGTAAGAATTATTCATTATAATAACAATATAATTACATAATTATTATTAATTAACATATTACTTATCTTCATAGCTTAAACAATGTACAACGAACATGATTTGGTTCGTTTAATATATTAAATTTCTAGTTTTCAAAAAAATCTGTATATGATTAATTCATCTGTACATATCATTTTTGCTCGACTTGTATCATAGAACCTTTCGCTACTTGTGCACAGTATCGCCGCTTAAATTCTTCAAAAATTTGACCTTAATTCACCTATGTACCTTTGAATGAGGGTCCAATTGGCCACGGTTTTCCCTGGCACACCACGCTCGCAATAATTTTGTCTCACAAATTTGGCATTGACGGACAGTAAGAAGAACCACCCTGATTTTTCAAAGCGACTGTTGGAAAGAATATCTAGTCCTAGATCTAGACCTTCAAAGCAATTTCTCCACTCTGTCTTACTTTTTATTACGTTCTAAGCTGTACCTAACTTTTAACGTTTGTTTCTGCATAACATTTCTTTGATATCAGGAATTGTAAAATTCGTACAGCGAGAATAAGTGAATTTTTCAATAGGTACTTTTGCCTGCTATCTGTCTATGAGCGACCGCGGCAGCCGAGTGGTTAAGGCGTCAGACTCTCGGCTAGAAGATCCCGCGGTCGTGGGTTCGAGTCCCGCCATCGCCTCTGGACTTCTTCTGACGCCTAAGGGCCGGTGGCCGCAATGAAAATTGACACGGCATTCACCAATGGAAGGTCTGGGGCCAGATCGGATCTCAGCGAACCTAAATTTGGCAGGTTCCCCGACCCCCTTCGCAAATGAATTTCTTCAATGGTAGAACACCGGCATACTGGGGGCACGCAGTAAGAAAAGAAATCATTTGGGTTCCTCAGAGTTAATTCCAAATGCCTAGAAACGACTCTGCTGATATCTAACGGTTTTGAGCAACATCTACTTATTGAAGAAGACCGACAGTTGCTCTTACTTATTCTTTAATTTTGTTTCCGTCTGTGAAGATATAAAAATATCTTCTTAGTTTTTTCGACTTTGAAGAAATTTTCGAAAGCGGGGTGTGGCCAATCTCCCAATGTGGTTGCTCCCGTTCAATCAACGAACCAGGATGGATGAAAATTGTGACCTATCTTTTTGTGGTCATATAGAAATCACAAACAGGCAACAAATCCATCCAGTTTTGTAGGAAATAGTTTAAGACGCTTTTGTTATTCTCAAAGCTTTTGTACACTCCTGAGTGTCATGCAAGAAAGAAAGTGAAGGAGAGAGAGAGTGTGTGTGTGTGAGAGAAAATAGCTTTTCTTTTTTTTTCTTCAAAAGTCGTTAGAAATTGAAGGCAATTCAATGTTGTTTTTCGAAGTTGATAAGTCATGGAATTTGACGTTAAACACGTCAGGTACGATTAATGAGATTAAGCTGGGCTGAGTCACTTTTTGTTCAGCATTGTATCATTGATATTCAGATAGCTCAATTGTTTAAAATTACATTTACGGATGATTTTAGAGCTTATTTGAGCTTGCACGACATTTTTTTTGTAAATAATTAGACAAACAAAAGAATATTTGCACGATATAATGTAGAAAACTGGTGCTGATTTGTGATATAAAATAGAATGTACGTGCTCATATTTTTTTTCCTTTTTTGTTTCAGGTAGCTTTCATATGCTTTTGCATCGGGTTGGTAGCAGGTGAATACTCCGAAAGGGGAGGTGGGGCTACGAGCTTCGCACAGGTTTTCAACAGGCTTTACGAACCGACCGAAGGATCACAGTACAGAACGTTCGGGGGAGGTGCCAGCTTTGCAAAAGACATCCCCGTCTCTTTCCCTATCGCAGCTGAAAAAAAGTCCCCTTTCACCGTCAAGTCTCCATTAACAGTACCAGTGCACGTACCGAGGGCGTTTTCCGTACCGGTGGCCCCTCAGGTACCGTTCGCCGGCGATCGGTCTTTGTCATATCCGGTGTACCAGCCCGTGATCCCGGTTATCCAGAATATCGGCAAGTCACCCTTCCAGCACTACCAGCCATTCCAGCACCAAGATGGCTTCAATCAACAGTTTCACCCACATCTCCAATGACACTGGCCCAGTCTCCGTTGAAGTAATGCCACCGTTCACTCAAGGAAAGGCAGAGCTTGTTTGTGATAACTTTAACTTTAAATGAGTGTTTAATTGTTATTATTAATAAAAAATTGTTGTTGAATAACTGTCCTTACTAATTATTTATTACACGTCAGCACCTCATATTCATGTACTAATGTCTAACCTTGACGTTCAACTTAAAAAGCCTAAAAAGGCATATCATTTATGTCATTAATAATCTAAATTTGTTAGAAGGTATATAAAAGCTTCCACCGTAATTTGTAAAACTTACAGCCAAATATAGCCAAAGACATTTATTTATCTACAGACAGTTCTCAGACCATTATCTGGACAAAACTAATTAATGGAAATAACTATCACTACTAAAAATATTTTGTATATTTTTTTGGCAAAATTACTGGAATTGCTTTTTAATTTTTGATATTTTTAAATCCTTCATTAATTTGTTAAAAACATCTTTGAAACATGTGTATATCTTGTGTAATATTTTTTTCTTTCATCCTTAGGGATTAACTTTTCTCAGATTAATAAATAACCATACATTATCAATTAGACTACATTATCTTAGACTATCTATTGAATAATTCAGCGAAAGGATTAATTTGCCTTTGGTTTTTGAACCATTGAGTGTTATCGTTGGATAGTTGCTATGCAGGGTCATGTTGTTTCTCATAATTTATGGAAACTTAAATAATTATGGGTTGATGGTCAATGTACCAATGTAAAAAGAAGCAATTCGTTTATTAAATATGTTTAGAAAAATCAAAACAAAATTTTGATTTTGAACAAATTTTGCTCCTGCCTATAAGAATGTCAATAATTCATACAAACTGCTTTATTTACTTTAAGGTATTTAAGGGAATTAATAGGTAGCAAAATTTGTTGAAATCTTTGGTGTTTATATTTTTTACAAGCTTATTCTCTACTTATTTACAAGTTTAATGAAAAGGAAAAAATCAAGTAAGTGCGAGGTTAAGGCTGAACGGACTTGACGCAAAGAAGGTAAAACCAAAATCACTGGCTAGGTGTGTAGCTCCGACCTCGCTTAGTGCCTCACTGACGAGGCCGGGCCCACAATGTAAATATGTTGTGCCTCGGGAGTGAACTGTGGTACTCCCGCACCATGTGCCTCTGATCGTGGACAATAACAAGAATATATTACAACACATAGAAGTGATAAGAATTGATCAAATACATATTTTGAAAAGAAAAAAGAAAGGGAATCATTATAAAAATAAATAAGAATACGAGACTAGAAGAAAATATACTTTCTAGAGCCTTAAAAAAGTACAAAGCATATATTACATATTAGAATTATATCTTAAGCGATCGAAGGCTTAATATTGCTCGTTGTAACCACGCTGGTGTTGAAATTGTTGGTTCTTTCCTCCGTTATAATCCGAGAAACCTTGATTGTAACCTGTATTGTAGGCGGGCTGGTCCTGGTATGTCGCATGGTAGACGAGTGGCACCTTAGTAAGAATGTAGTCTGGTTGTTCTACTTTAACGGGAACCTTGACGGGCACCGGGACGTGCTTTTCAACGTAATAAGGTACAGGTTTGATCACAGGGACCGGGAACGGCCTTTCGACGGGTACAGGGACCGGGACCTTAACGGGTACGGGTACCGGCCTCTCGACCGGGACCGGGTAAGGGACCTCCTTGGTTATCGCGTACGTGTTCAAGGGTTGGTAATGTTGCAAGGGCTGATAGTGCTGCACCTGTTGATATTGCTGCACGGGTTGGTGGTACTGAACCGACTGGTGGACCTGGACAGGCTGGTCGTGCTGCAAATGTTGACGCTGCTGAATACCTTGCTGATGATGTACTGGATGGTTTTGGTACGAATGGGTCACATGGCTGAAGCTCACCGCTCCCGAATGTCCATTGTTTCCATGTCCTGAATAATCATCCACGACTTCGACACCTCTTTTTCCTTGACTCCTGGACGGGTCGTTCGCCTTCAAAGCGTCCTCCCCCAAACAGGTCGCGACGCACAATAGTAATACCTACAATTTACATTTATTTTAATAATTAGTTTTGCTGGGCAACATGCTTTGGTTGGTTCCATTATTTAAGGGCAAAATGTGGGTTCGCAGGTTGGAGGTTTCTAACCATCCTGTTTTGATTCTCTGACAGATAAGACCAGCGTGTTCTCGACCAAACTACAAAATACTCTCAATTGAAAAAATGTATCACATCAATTTCTAAGTAAAATAAGAGGTGTGATAAATATGATTAACCAAGAATTGGCATACCAGGCCTGGATCTATTCTTTCTGTATATCAAAAACATCGAATTTAGATTGTTTTTAGAATTTTTAACAAATAGTTTAAATTGTGAAGTTTCCATTAGGGATTTTTAGTAATATTTTTTACTGAAGTTTGGTTATTTTGAAACATTTTGGTCATCGTTTTCTAGCTGTTTGGGTCTGTCAGGCGCGTTTTCTCTTTTCTTCATTTTCATTGTTAGGTCTAAACAGTCGAAACAGACTTACCAAAATTAACAAATCAGGTTATTTCCATTGTATATACGTGTTTAGTTCGGACAGACTAACAGACTGAAATGATTCGTTGTCTTGGAAGAAAAATCCAGTGTTAAGATATTTGGTGAATGTTTTTAGTGATTTGGTGACATTTTTTAGTGATTTCTTGTGTCGTTTTAAAAACTAATTTTTTTAACCATGATATAACACAAAATTTTATCATATGGTAAGGTAGAACTTTATTCAATCAGGATCTTTTCTCTTGGTTGATTTTATTAAGGAAAAGCAAAATTTGAATTTGCAATTTGGAGGTTTCTGACCCTCCCCTTAATCATCGTCTGACAGATGTGATTTGCTGTTCAAGTATTGTAAGTACCAAACGACAGGTTCATCGCCCCGCAAACCAGAAATGTCACAAAATTTGTATTGCAATGCAGTAAATACAAGCAATAAAAAAATCAAAAAATTATTAATACCATTCAGTTGAAAAAGTTATTAGATTTCTAAGTCAAGTGTAAATACGATAAATTGACAACACAGCCCTGGACCCTATTCTTTCTGTATGTAAAAAGATAATGGAATTAAATTTTTTAGAACTTTTAACGTAATCTTTTTGATTGTGAATTTGGGGGGGGGTCTGCGAGATGATGAAACTGTAGTTTTGTTATTTCCGATCATTTTGGTTTGCATAGTTTTGTTCTGTCAGAAGCGTTTTGACTTCTTTCCACTTTTTGTGTTGGATTTATCTGATAGGCAGACAAAAATGATCGAAAATGGCCGAACCGCTTAGTATTTTAGTTTTTAACTATGTCATAACACAAAACGGTTATTATACGGTAAGTCAAAACTGTACTTAATCAGGATTTCCTGTCTTGGTTGATATTATTAATTAAAAAACAAAATTGTATTTGCAATTTGGAGTTTTCTTAATCATCGTCTGACAGATGTGTTTTGGTGAAACCAGTATTGTACGTACCGAACTACAGGTTCATCGCCCCGCAAACCAGAAATGTCACAAAGTTTATAATTGCAGGATATTTTCAAGTAATAAAAAAGCAAAAAAAAAATAATACCATTTCAGTTGAAAAAGATATTAGATTTCTAAGTGAAATAAGAAGGGTGTAAATACGATAAATTGACAGCACACCCTATTCTTTCTGTATGTAAAAACATAATGGAATTAATTTTTTTAGAACTTTTAACGTAATTTTTTTGATTGTGAAATTTCTTTTTTTTGGGGGGGGGGGTTTGCGAGATGAAGAAACTAGTTTTGTTATTTCCGATCATTTTGGTTTGCGTAGTTTTATTCTGTCAGACGCGTTTTGATTCTTTCCATTTTTTGTGTTGGATCTATGTAATAGGCAGACAAAAATGATCAAAAAAGACCGAACTGCTAGTATTTTAGTTTTTAACTATGTTATAACACAAAAAAGTTATTATACTGTAAGTCAAAACTGTACTTAACCAGAATTTCTTTTCTTGGTTGATATTATTAAAAAAAATTGGATTTGCAATTTGGAGTTTTCTTAATCATTCTGTCTGAAAGATGTGTTTTGGCGTAACCAGTATTGTAAGTTTGTAAGTAACGAATTACAGGTTCATCACCCCGCAAACCAGAAATGTCACAAACTTTGTAATTGCAGGATATTTTCAAGTAATAAAAAAGCAAAAAAAAAATACCATTTCAGTTGATAAAGATATTAGATTTCTAAGTGAAATAAGAAGAGTGTAAATACGATAAATTGACAGCACAGTCCTGGACCCTATTCTTTTTGTCTATAAAAAGGCCATGACATTAATGTTTTTAGAACCCTTAACATAATATTTCAGGTTGTGAAATTTTTTCTTTGGGCGAAAGAACAGTTGGCGAAACTGTATTTTGGTTATTTCCGGTCATTTTGGTTTGCGTAGTTTTGTCCTGTCAGAAGCGTTTTGACTTCTTTCCACTTTTTGTGTTGGATCTTTCTGATAGGCAGACAAAAATGATCGGAAATGACCGAACTGCATATATGTTAGTTCATTTAAAAATACCATTGTTCGAAACATTCGCATATTACGAAAATTAGTTACAACACTGGTAGAGATTTAAATATAATTTAGTAAACTATTAAAATTGAACAAATTTACGTCTATTCAAGTAATATTGTCAAGCATTTTACCTTCAGTAGCATATATAAAAAAAACCGTATAGATCTTGAAATTTATAGTAAAAAATTGTTATTCGGAAATAGTGAGATGCAGTCTGGTGTGATGTAAGTTTAAGAAAAACATTTTCTTTATCGTGCCAACGTTTCGATCTTTATTGAGATCATCTTAAGGGCCTGGGATTTACAAACATTCTTTCAATTTAACAATACATGTAGGATGTGGAAAAAAGTGAATTTAAACAATGCAAAAAATATTTTTTATATTCAATCACGAATTTCTTTTTTTTCTCTTTTCAACAATGTTTGTAAATCCCAGGCCCTGAAGATGATCTCAATAAAGATCGAAACGTTGGAACGATAAAGAAAATGTTTTTCTGAAACCTATATCACACCAGACCGCATCTCACGATTTCCGAATAATCATCGACTAACGGTCACTAATCACCACACGTAAAAATTTATATTTATTCAACTTGTCTTAACCATTCTTTCTATTCAACTTATAAAGAATAAGAGTGTAAAAACTACACTGAAAAGAGTGTAAGAACTACCAATTTTCAAGTAACACTCATGAAGTCAAAAATCCGATTTATATCAAACATAGTTAACAGCTTTATTTTTAAGTGTCTACTGTTTATCATGTTAACATAAAAGTAGATAGTATGTTTACTTTTAAAAGTGAAGAACTAAAATGCGCTCTTTGATGTTTAAAGAAAAAGTAAAACCTTTAACTAAAATGCGGATGAAAATACAAATCGCGAATCATCACGAAATGGTTCGAGGTCTACTTACGAGATATGCCTTCATCACCGCTGTCATAGCTATTCTGCGACCGCCTACATGTGGGCCTCGGTCTTATATCCTGTCTAAAGAACACTTTCGCCTTTTGTCGTTTGATTTTCACGCCTGGAAACTTGGGAAAACGAATTACATAAATTGGATGTCTCAACTGTTGTCGCGAGTCTTTTTGGATGATGGTTTTCACAAAAAAATCGTTCTTTTTTGAGTCACATTATGACATCGAATTAATCGTTCATTATGTCAGATAACGATAATTAATCAACAATAAAATAATCTATGCTTTTATCTGTATTTAAAGACACTCAGGGATTTAGATTCGTATTCGGCACAGCAGATAGATTTTATGTTGTCAGTCACCATTTCTTCAAGACAGCTGTAATTCATAATTAACAACACTTGAATAATGCAATTCAATTTAATCATGGAAACTATTATATAAGAGATGATTGGTCTGGAATTTTAAAATTTGAGGAAATCACGGCTATATTTTCCAATTTCACACCTTTAGTCGCGGCTAATAAAATATAGTTACAACTGAACCATGGGCAGAGTGGAAAACACATAACGTCTCTGTTCTGGAAATTTGCTCGATGTAGCCCACAGCTGCGTTCAATTAGACTTTACCAAGCTTTATTTAGATCGGTAAAGTAATTAAAACAGTGACACTAAGAACAAAACAAAAACAAAACTAGATATAAATATAAGAGGAAAACTCAACCTCAAACTGAACCTTCTAAAAGACAAAGAAATAATGACTAATTTAGAAAAATTGCACTTTTTTCACTCTCCAATTTTATTAGTTGCCTGTATAGGAAGTAATCTGAAGGACCAGGACATTAGTTTGTGACGAAAGGGGCAATGGAATTTTTTTTATTGGTCTTGTACAACAAAAGTTAAAATAAAGAATCGGTGTAGGGTGAGGAGAAGCATCCTACACATAGAATGGCAGGTTAAATATTTTTCTTAAGACTTTTGACTAGAATTTTGGATGAGTTGGGAGTTAGATGCTTTAATGCTTGGTTGATGCGTACAGTTCATTACCGTAAGTCCACAGAGATTTTAGAAACCAACAACCCGCTAACAGTCGTCATACTTTACGAGGTTTTCCAAAGACAAATTGGACTAAAAATCCCTACTGTTCAAAGTCTATTTTAAATTGTATTCACGATATTTTACTTTTCAGATTATATATGAAGGAAAGATCCAAGAATGCACCCTTGTGAGGTGTCAGCTTATATAGGATATATACAGGGGATATCACTATGCTCTGTCTAACCCCTAATTAACTGCCAGACAGGTACGATTTTAGGGTTACATAAAAGATGTCATTAGGGTTACATAAATGTCTTCATCTTGTACAGAAGGTTCGGCTGCCAAACTAATCGAAGGCTTGAGTGACGTCAAAGACCACACCTAGACAAAACTGCTTCTTCTTAAGGTAGGATGAAATGAGAGATTGTGGATTGTCGGAACTTACCTTCCAACGATTAGGTAAAGACGTTTTAACAGGAGTTTATCGAGAATTTAACTCATGATAGGAAAACAAGGCCGGAAAAATGAAGTCAAAGAGACAGTAAATGATAGTAGACAATTTTGAAAAGCCAGGGAAATACATTGTTTGCAGGACGGTGTTAAAGAAATAAGTAAGAAAAAAGGTTTACCAAGGTTACCTAGAGAACAGTGAGCAAACATTAAAAAACTAGCCTTGGAACCCACATTTGCTGGCTTAACAAGAAACACATTACTAAAAGACTAACACCAACAAACTAACATCAAAGAAGAAAGGAACCTTGGATGCTAGAGAACGCAACAAATTTGAGAACGTATACCAGTTATGAGGCAAGGAAATATGCTAGCATAACAACTATAAACATTATTCACTCTAATGAGAACCTGAATCGATACTTAAAGCAGATGGACTTACATGCCACTTTTGAAAAGGCTTGGTTGAAAAAATAACCTTACTTTGAGCGAATGTATTTATTAGCGTGAACTTTGGACCGTGTCTGTGTATAAGGAGTATTTATATAATTTCAAAAATCCTGGTGACTTCTTGATTGTGTAAATATATTTATTTGCGTGAGTGGTTAAGCGCGCATGGGCACGGTCTGTGTAAAATCGAGTACCTTCAGACCTGTCGAACCAATTAGGTTAACTAGTATAGTGACTGTGTGACTTTTACTCGAGAATGTATTTACTGGCGTGAACGGAGGTCGTCAAGATGAAAAACGCCGAAGCTCCAGGCGGGGGGGTCTTAAAAGTACATGAACCCGCAAAACTTACATTAGATTAGGTTATTATCTTAATAGTATGAATTTGTACTTTAATCACAGTTTCATAGTGTGGAAGAGTTAAACATCAGAAATAGAAGCATAACTCTCAGATGAAATCATTGCCTTATTAAAAAAACAAAAATCTTTCCGGAAAACCATTATCAGATATCGGACACAAAGCAAAAGGGGGGAATCCTTACTGCAAAGAGAAAAAATAAAACTATGTAAAATAATAAATATATAAAATATATAAAAAACCAAAAACATAAAGCAGAAATATTTTTTGTATTTTTAAAAAAATTATTTAATATTATCTTTTTAATTCTTTTCCTTTATTTGCATATTTTGAATCAAGCCATCCAGTGAGTCCAATTTTTCTTGCAATCTTTAGGAGCTTGTCATCACATTTCTTAAATTGTCTGCTTTTTTTCTTTTTGTTTCCTATGTTTTCAGACTGAAACACGTTTTGGCCATCTTCATCCCTCCATACTTGCCATGTATACTCCCAGGTCCATTTTATCTTTTTATCTACCCCGGTGACATCCACCCGTTTACCATCTGAGGGATAAATTTTTAACTTTTATATTTTCTCATGACGAGAAAAATTCTATCATAACGACTGCGCAGAAAAGGTACGAGAACTAAGGAAGATAGTAGCAGATGGGCCCTAAAAAAGATGAAATGATGGATGTTGAACCGACTCACAGGCTCATCACCGCGTAGACCATAAAAAGAAATTTTATAAAATATACAAATTTAAAGTTACACGTGAATACTAGGTTGAAAATGGAGAAAGTTACTTTACTCGACTGAAAATTTGCTTATTTCCCTTCCATAAAGATCAGAACATCGAATGATGAAACAGTTTTTTTTTACTTTTTAAGAAAAAAATCATGATTTTAGTGAATTGACTTTATTAATCTAGAGCCTACTTCTTTCCAAGACGAATTCTCGCGGATCAGGATTTACATAAAATTTAAAATTTATATCCATAATAATTTAAATAGATTAATAAATAATTTTCCACCTTTGATTGTCTTTTTTTTTAATTAAAGGAAAGAAATATATTCAATATTCTTTTCAAACTTTAAAAATTACCACATTGCTTGCAATTATTCTTTCTGTTTTAGTTTACACGAGGCAGTCATGTTTTGCACTTCATTATTGAGACAAATTAACATAATTACGCATAGAAGTGTTTGTTTTATTTATTCTCGCCTTGTTTGTTAGTGTTAAAATTAATTAAACAGGTTCAATTAATATTATCTGCACTGTATTATCTTCTTACAAATGAGTCGCTGTATAGATTACATTTTTCTGAATCGCCCTCTGCCTTTAAGGAAGAGAACTTTGAAAGTGTTTTACTTTCACTTTTTGTCCAGAGATGGTGTATAACTTATTTCTACTGCTTCACCAGGGATTTTTTTATTGTTTTCATAAAATAGACATATATACATTACATACTAATTAATAATTAATAGTTATGTCATCTTACATCCTATTACAAAGAAAAGATATTTATAAGGAAACAGGCCCTGGGGATGAGATTATGTACGTCTAAAGCTTGGCGATAACTCTAATTTTTACAACTTCTTGGGTTTCCTTTTGTATGATAAATGTCTTATCGAAGTGGCTGTACCGTAAACGGGCTAACGCTTTAAATTTCAAAGGATTTGTGCATATATCTCTGATTCCTCCTGACAAGTTTCCGTCTCAGTTTTGTCCATTTCCTTAAGATATTAGTTAAGAGGGCAGTCGCCTCTAATTCTCCTTACATCCTGTCTGCTAGAAGAGAGGAGTTCCTTCGCCTTCCGTTTTGATAGATTTGTCAATTTTTTAGCTTGCCTCATACCTAGTGTTGGTTGAGTTTTTCTTTGTCCAGTTCCAACTTAAGCACAGACTCGGAGTAGTTAGTTGTGGTTATGGTCCCATGGGAGACTCGGAGTAGTTAGTTGTGGTCCCATGGGTGAGGGGTTGCCCCACATACCAGTAGTACCAGGCCGGCTCATTTCCTTCTATGCGTTCATGTCGGGTAACCCACTTTAAAGAAATCTTGTTTTGCTTTCCTAGAGTCATTAGCAAGTTTAGACACTCCCAGGCAAGTTTGGAGTTAAAAGCATACGCATAGTGCCTTTATGGTTGGTTGCCTGTCTGTCTGAGAGTACGAATATCTGTCCATCTTTCATGTATTTCTTTATTACCTCCTATAACAACTAACAGAATTTTATTGTATAGACTTCAGCTTGAAAAATCGTTAGGGTTAGTGCAAGGGGCTTTGCTAGGGTGATCTTTATTGACTCGCCTACTTGGAAGGGTCTGTCAAAGTTGAGCTTTTCGTCTTTCGGACACCATTGCAGCCGCTGTAACCATCCCATTTATTTTAATTCTTTTTAAAATTTTGTGGTGGGTTCTTAAATCTGGTTTTATTTCCTGGTATCTAAGGAGTCTGTTGACACCCCATGGAAGATACAGCAACGATGTCAGGCTTGAAAAGGTTTTATATAATTCGATAAAATCACACTCGAAACTTGTGCAAACACGCCAGAGGTCAGGATTGTTCGTAGAAACTTTAAATTATTTATCAATGAAAGAAATGCGGAAGAGAAATAATCCTGACAGTAAGATAAAATACACAAAATCCTTTCTGCACTGGTTTCTTAAAGTCGGAAAGATGGCCAAAAATTTCCTCACAACTAGCACAATCATTAGATCGATTTGACGCACCAAGAAAAGCGTGTTATAAGGAATAGCGCACCTTGGAAATTTTGTTTTAAAGGGTTGTGACAGTTGATGCAGAAGACAGTTCTTTTCCTCCACTGATACCTAAACAGGTCTATTGTGGAATCTCTCCAGGTGAGCTATAAGCTACAGTGGTCCACAATAGACCTGTTTAGGTCGCAGTGGAGTAAAGTACTGTCTTCTGCACCAACTCCCACAACCCCTTAAAAAACTTGATTATATGGAGATCGTGAGATGCGGTCTGGTGTGACNTTATATCCATAATAATTTAAATAGATTAATAAATAATTTTCCACCT